GGGGCCGGGCCTCGGGTTCCGGTGTCTCCCGGCACGGACGCCCCTCGCTCCCCGGGGCCGGAGCTGAGGGGGATTCCCGCCCGCGCTCGGCCCGTCTGCTCCCCGGGGCTCAACCCCCCGCGCTGGAGCAGCTTGGGTGGGAGGCCGAGGTGCGATGGGCCCCCCCGGCGCTCCTCCTGCGGCCCCGGCAGGAGCCCCGCCCGCCGCTGCCCCAGGGAGGCTGTGAGAGCAAAATAACCTGCGGAGGTCATTCCTGATGAGCTGCTGCTGTCGCATCCCTTGTGTTTATTAGCCTTGAATGAGCTTTCACGGATGGAAGAAGGATCTAGTTACTTTTTGAAGCACCGTGAATTTTTAGCATCCATAATGTCTGATGGAAAAAGTGCTGCGTAGGTTAATGACAGGTTAACAGGCTGTAAAGATCCACCTCCTTTGGTGTCTTGGAACCTGCTGCCTGCTGTCTTCATGCAGGTCCCTGGTTTTCCTTCCAGAAAAGAAAGTGATAGTGGATTGTCCTGCAATTCCTCATCTGTTGGGTTTGTTATGTTGTCTGTTCTTGTTCTAGCCACTTGCATGTGCTGGTTTCTTTTCTGTTTTTGACTGCTGCGTCTATGGAGCTGATGAATCATTATCCTTATTGTTTTCATTTGGGCATATCCCTACTATATCCCTTTCCATTTGGAGGGACAGGAGTGACACATAATATTCAAGATGCAAATGAGGCAGGTATTTATACAGTGACACATGTTTTCTGTTGCGTTCCTCATAAATCCTACTATGTTTTTACTGCCCTGACTGCTTCTTGAGCCTTGGGCAGATGTTTTCATGGGTTACCCTCAGATAGACCCCAGGTCTTGTTTCTGAGTGATAAGGTTTAATCAGCTCAGAGAACGTAATTGTGTATGGAAAGTAACAATTTATTTTTCCTCTTTATTTTGCCACATGTATAGTTTTATGTTTACCTACTCTGAATTTCACCTTTACCTCTCAGTTACGCCACATCAGGAGGTCCTTCAGCAACCCATCCAGTGAGCCCTGTCTTTACTACCTCAGGGCAATTTAGTGTTGGTAACAAACTCCTTGAAGCATTAGTTAAATATAGCAGGCGCCTGAGCGAAGCCCAGTGTTCCTTGGAAACATCAGTCAGTGATGTTGCATGCAGGCTTTGCAGCGCTTACATCTGCTTCCAGCTCTTCATGGCTTTGGGGAGAGCCTAAGGAAGCAGGAGGTTTGGAGTATGCTGCTGCTGCAAGAGCAATGTGTGTGCAATAGGATTTCATTCTTCCTCTTGAGGGCTTCTCGGATAAGCACAGGCCGGGGGACTGTCGTGGGTGCATGTACCTGGCACCCCGGCAGTAGAACACTGGGTACCAGCCCAACTTGTAACACAGGCGTTAGTTCATCTCCTTGCACAAACACAGTATGCACAAACATTTCTTAATTGGACAGGAACTGACGAGTCCCATCACAAGATGTAGGAGAGTGCTTTTAGCTCAAGGTGGAACACCCATCAATCTGCTCCGTGAGTCGACTCCATGGATCAAACAAACTTGACTCAGCAGTTTCTTTTGAGGTGATGAAGTGAAGTCTGATCAGTGGTTACTAAAAAAAAAGCCATTACAGTCTTGTCAGGCTATAAAGAAAATAGATTAAGTTTGTATTCTCATGAAGAGGGGTGATCCCTGACTGTTTCTCCTGTGTAGCTCACACTGGTCCCGTGTATGTCCACAGAACAACAATAAACTCAATAGCAAGAGTGCCAACAGTCTGAGTCACCCTATCTGCTTTCCTAATCAGCATTCCCTTTCTATTGTTTGATTGCTTTGGCCCACCCTCCTCACAGATTATAATTGTACAGTTCTCAACTTCCATGAGCAGTTAATTAGGGCTGGCACTCTTAATTATATTTTGTGCAATGCTTGTAGTGTTAAGTTAGAATGGACAAGGTTCTAAAGGGTTTTTGCAAGAGTCAAGAATATGCATTCGTGTCTTTGGCAACAAATCCCCTGTCCTGATACTTTGTCACCATCCTCCCTCGCCCAGGGATGTCAGTGGAAAAGGTTATTAAACACTGAAATCCGGAGAAAAAGGCAGGAGATGATGTGTGCAGGGGTCCATATGTGTGGTCTCGGTCACTGCAGGGCCTCCCACAGCCAGTTAAGGCACAAGGACAGTTAGAGCTGCTAGTTTATTTAGCAACTGGAGGTGGCACTTGGGCAGGAAAACAGTAAAGAATGAGACAAAAGGCAGAAACTGGTGTCTCAGCACCATGGACCTGATGCTCATTTTTCAAAGGCTGTTTTGGATGAAAATCCTGTGCCCACATCTGCTGTCAGAAAAGACTGAAGGAATTCTCGTTGGCTTTGAGCTGCATTAGCTGCAGTGGCTCACAGAGTTGGAAGGGCTATGTTTGATGGCTGCCTGAGGTGGTAAAATGCAGCTGTGAGTGAAAATGTCTTCACTACACTCATCTAGACCTGAAAGCAGGCAGCTAGCCAGGGGTTTGTCTCAGGAGCAAGTATCTTACCTAAGTGTTCTGACCCAAGGGAAAGGGGTCAGTGTGAAACCATAGAATTTTTATCTCCAGAGTCTCTCTTTGCTTCCCCTGAAAAGGAAGCTCTGTAGGAGAGATTGGACTATGGATGCATGTGTGCAGATCCACAACACCTTGGGGAAGTGTTAAGCTTTATCCTCATCCCTTGTCTTTCCTGCCTTTTTTTAGAGGGAGGAGAAGCAGCTGGAACTGACCCTGGAGGCACTCATCAGTCAGGTGGCTGACCTGAAGAACTCCTTGGTCAGTTTTATCTACAAGCTGGAGAATGAGTATGACCGACTCACATGGTAAGGTGTATCACAGGGCTGGGGACACTGACAATCACTGCTGGAGCTGTTCCTCAGCTTCAGACTCAGCTCAAAGGACTACAAATTATAATTAAAAAACAGTAGCCTATTGTCAGTAGGTTTAAATTTGCTTTTCACATTTCTGCTGGGGAAACCACTGCAGGTCTTCCATCAGAAAACCAACTGAAATCCATTGGTTTCATGCTGTATAGTAAGAGTCATGCTAATACATTTTAATCTAGGTGCTCTGAGAGCTATTGTAGTTACTTGCATCCTCGGTGACTGGAAGCTTCCTGGATGAAGTATCTCAGAGACCCACATACACTATAAATTGAGCAATGGTTCTTTCTGAATTTCTTGACCTTTCTGTCTTTTTCTGGTGCTGGTATAACCTGAGCTGTTGTATTTTGCTGGTTCTCCATGTTTTACCAGACAGTTTGAGAGACTTGCAAGGTGGCATTTTCTTGCTGGTGGAGAATAAAGATGTTACATATGCAGCTTAATAAAGTCTACAGTATCTTAGACAGTGTCTGTCAGTGCAGCAAAGCTTCACAGGCAGTTAGCATTTGTAGATGATGTTGCAGAAGGCAGGAGAGGTGATGAATCCTCCAGAGGGAGCAGGCTAGAGGGGATGTCCTTGACAAGATTATCAGTTATTTTGCTTCATTATTCCTCAGCCTGGATAACCAAGCTGTAAGTATCACCTCTCCTGGCTGCGCTGCTTTTGGAGTTACATTGTTTCTCAGCCGTTGCTCTAGAGTTGCACTGGGAGAGTTAGTCATAAGGAAAGTGTTGCTTCTGTGTATGTTACTGAAATCTCAAACAACTGCCACATCCACTGGTACTGCTTACAATGTCCCTGAGCTATTTGCAACATTGTGTGGAGGAACTGGGATTTGTCCACACCTGCACATTCAGCCCTAGGTTTTACTGCTTGCTGTCTGGCGTAGACTGATTTGAGGACTTACAGTGACATTTCCTCACTTCCCAGCCATTTGAGTGAAGAATAGATAAAAGCCAACTGTGGCATCCCTTTCCATGATCTGTCCTCTCTATATTCTTTCCCAGGCCTTCAGTTCTGGACAGTTTTGCACTGCTTTCAGGGCAGCTGAACACCTTGAATAAAGTACTAAAGCATGAGAAGACCCCACTTTTGCGAAACCAGGTTATCATACCCCTTGTGCTGTCTCCAGACCGCGATGAGGAGATCATGGTAAGAAATTTCCTTCTGTGTGTGGGCCCTGGAGTATCAGAAAATGCTTGTGTGCCTGCTAGAACTTGTCATTCCTTGTGCTTAGATATAACTGAGTAAGAAGTTATTTTCTGGCCTTAACTCTGGGTATGAAGAAGGAAAATGTGATGAGTAGTTCTGCCTGGGAGCTGCTTTGCTGGGGGAGCTACAAATACTGGCACTCGATACACTTCACAGGAGGTGTCCTGTTCATATGTCGTTGTCATGATGTTGGGACTGAAAGAGATAGTGTCTTCTTGTGTAACTGGGAGATCTCCTGGTTTTCTCTGGTGTAGCTGTGCTGTTTGTATCAGTCATCTGCATCTAGATTTGCACTGTTTGTCATCTGGCCGACATGAGGTGTGTTACAGAACCTCTGGCATGCACTGGCAGTGTTTATTCTCTACTTGAGTGAGAAAACGTTTCAGCTGATCATGGCCATGCTGTTGGGATTGCACTACAGACCCCTGTGGGTTTCTCTGACTAAACAGGCGCTGCAGATTCCTAGAAAAGAAGTTGAAACTTCCCAGTCCTCCCCAGATCAAGGTTTCCCCATATCATTCTAGAAGCCTTGCCCCAGCATCAGGGCCTGTGCTCTGGGCTTGAGCTGAGCGCTGGGTTGGAGGAGGAGGCTCTGAGTGTGTCTTGTCCAACCTTGCAGCGGCAGACAGAGGGGCGTGTGCCGGTGTTCAGCCATGAGGTAGTGCCTGACCATCTTCGGACTAAGCCTGACCCTGAGGTGGAGGAGCAGGAGAAGCAGCTTATCACAGATGCAGCTCGAATTAGCCCTGATGTGGCACAGGTAGGTGAAGAAGCTCCTTCACCCTTCCATCTGACAGTTTTCTTTCTTGTTATGTTGCCTGATATTTCTCCAGCTTACCCTAGCTGGGGCTTGGGTTCCTGCACAGTTTCACAAAGCAAGTATATCCAGCCCACTGGCTGTTCACAGGAGGTATCATCAAACCAGTCAGAGAAAGGCAAAGACTGTCCCGTCCTCATAGTCCTTTTCTGCGTGCATTAGCCTTGAGTTCACTAGGCTGTGCCACCAAAATGGTTACGTTTGGTTACACAGACCCTGGGAAGAGAAAGCTTCATCATTTACCTTGCTACCTTGTACTGGCTGATGGTTTCTGGTGGTTTTCATTTTGCAGAAACAGATCCAAAGTCTGAACAAAATGTGCTCAAATCTGCTGGAGAAAATCAGTAAGGAGGAGCGCGAGTCTGAGAGTGGAGGTATGTCACTGAGGTGGAAGTGGGCTACAGGGTCCAAGCAGCAGGCTTGAGAGAGTAGGGGCAAAATAGATAAATCAGAGAGCCTGAAGCATGGGAGCTGCAGATGAGCAGCATAGGCAAAAGTCTTCCAGAAGATGCAAGATTGGCTGTCCTGGAGCCCCCTGATTTGAAGAAGGATCCTGTGGGTGCGATTTGTCCTGCTTGTGTGATCTGTGCATGGCAGGAAGGTCATTCCAACCCCTTGCTATATCCCCCTTTGAGGAGGTGGTAAGTATTTACCAAGAAAACATCCCAATTAACTTGGATTAATAAAAATAGCTGTGAAAATGCAGTGGCAGTAAATGGAAAATCTCATTAGCTACATTCTGTATGAGTCCACAAGATGTTTGTTGGCAGGCTTTTGTGTGACATCCTCTAAATGATGGCTGCTTCAGACTCATAGTCAACTTTTTCTGGTTCTGACTTTGCTGTTGGACATTCTTATTTTATTGGTCTCTGCTATCATATCTTCACTATTTGTGGGAGTGCTATGCATAAGTCTTAAGGGTTATGGAGTTTTTTTGGTCATCTTTTGACACACACATAACATCAGCAAGGACCCAAGCACAGGTTCTGTCTGGTTTCCAGGATTAATAGTATAACTGGGCAGATGTGTAGTAGAAAACGTTGCCAACATCATGCTGCTCATGAGCCTTCAAAAGAGGATGTTGCCATTGTTTATCTAAAACACAGCACTTGTCACTTGCCATTGGATTGGCCATGGGAGAGTCTTTAGTGGGAACATTCTCATGGGTGTGGAGGAGTTGGCTCCCTCTCTCCTCCTTCTCTGGGCAGTGTATGCCCTGCTCTCAGGGGAGAAGCTCTTGCATCACCACTGCCCTTAGATTTTGCAGCTTCTTTGACCCTGCTGAGTCTCTTGGAACAGCTTGCTAGAAGCTTATCTCTGTTACATGCACCAGAACATCAGACAAGTTAATTCAGGACCAGTTATGTTTGTTTTTACACTTGATTGCTAAAATGAAATCGCTTCTTTTTCTATAGGTTTACGACAGAACAAGCAGACTTTCAACCCTGCAGATACCAATGCCCTGGTAGCAGCTGTGGCCTTTGGGAAGGGATTGTCAAATCGGCGACCCCCTGGCTCTGGAGGATCTGTCCAGTCAGGTCAACCAGGAGCTGGTGCCATCATTGCAGGTGCTTCAGGCATGCAGCAAGTCCCAATGTCAGGTGCACCAACTCAGCAGCAGCCAATGCTGGCAGGAGTGCAGATGACACAAGCAGGACAACCAGGTAAATAAGTTGCATGTCTGAGAGCAACTGAAATGCAGGAAGCAAGGAAGACAAATGCAGGTGTAGAGATCTTTCCCCAGTCACCTTTTAGATATAACTGAGTAAGAGGTTCCTTTCTGGCCTTAATAACATGAGTCAGGTTGTAACAGTGGATTAATACCTGCTGAAAATTGGCTCAGAGGTTGAAATGGATCTCGGCCGTCCAGCTTCAGCTTCTCAGCCCATATTGCAAGACCATTTAAATACTAGGCTTGGTGAACACAGGAATCAGTGTGGAGGGAGATCACAGTGTGGTTTTGCAAGGACCTATACTGGGGGTTTTGCTGTCAAATTTAAGTTGTGGGTAGGCAATAAAGTGGAGAAGTTTGATCATAAGGAGTTATTTAATGTAAGAAAAAAAAAAAAAACTGTCACAGAAGAATTCCACATACAGGCAGAGCAATTTGACTTGACATGTTCAGTACCTAGACTCTAATCTAGTTACTTGTAATTTGGGAAGTAGATACATGTTATAATAGTTCTGCAAATACATTAACCAAATGTAGGAATGACTAGAAAAGGAACAGAGAAACAAAGTATCATTAGGCCATTGTATAAATCTATTGGGCAGCCATACCTGCAATACTGTGTACAGTTCTGATCTCTGGTGCTGGGATTGGCTTTGGGGTAGGGAGAAGAGAGTACAGAAAATACTGTAAAATCCCAAGTTGTATACAGCAGGTGAATAGGGAATGATTGCTCACTATTTCCCATGATACAGAAGGATCAGTGAAAGTGCAGCAATGGGAATAATGGCTTGTAGATTCAAAACAAAAGGGAGATACTTTTCTGAATACTAAATAATTATCCTGTAGAGTGCATTGCCAAGTGCATGAGAGGTACATAAAGTTTGTATGAGATGGAAAAGTAAGTAAGTGATTTTCTGGATGAAAAATCAGTTGACAGCTAATCCTGAAGACACCATGTCTGACTCCAAGTACCTGAGCCACAGTTTATGGGAAATTGAGGGAATGCTCTGCAGCAGTATCACTGCAGGCTTGCCCTGTTCTGGTATTCCTCCTTAAATGTCCTCTGCTGTCAGGAAGGGGTTTAACCTGGGTGACCTGCAGGCCTCACCCTGTACTCTCATTCTTATGTTCATATTATTTGAGATTTTGGATATTGGATATCCTAATTGGTGTTTTCTTGTCTCTATAATGACTGTTGTTCAGAAATCAACTTGAGCAACAATCTTAATCATAAGTTAATTACGTATTTATGTAAGAACTAGAAAGTGATTTCCATGGTGACTTGGAAACAGAGAAGAACCCTGTGATACCTGGCTGCACACCCACAAACACTGTCTCGTTTTGCCCAGCACTGTACACCTACTGTAGGCTGCTAATACGATGTCTTTGAACACGTTCCTATGTGTGATTTCTGTCAGCAGAGGGTAATAGTGCCTAAGAGGGGGATGTGGTTAAGAGAAATTGAGAGATCTGAGCGAGGCTTAGCAATTTAAATATATGCTCTGACTATAAATAATGGTGCATGGAAAGGGATACAGGCTCTTGTGTTTGCCTCTCTGGAATGGAAGTGGAGATCAGGCTGGGTAATTCTGTCAGTGCTCCTGCCATCTACTTCTGTGAGACTGAACAAGTCCCACAGACCTATAGAAGCCTCCCAACAAAGAAGAAGGCTTGTTTAAAATGGAACAAGGATAAAATCTGAGGGGAGAGCAGAGGAACAGAGGAATTGTCAAGGAGATTTCTCAACAGAGAATGATGCCAATTTGTAGAAGAGAATGGTCATGCTAGGTCAGAAGCTGGAATATGCTATGGCAGGTAAGCCTAGTGTGTTGCCTGGAGTGGAACAGGAAAAGCCCAGACAGGGTTGTTGCGAGTCCTGCATGCTCCTAGGCAAGTGTCTTCTCATACAGCTGATTTTACATTGCTTTTTCTTTTTCTCTCTCCAGGAAAAATGCCTAGTGGCATAAAAACAAACATCAAATCTGCCTCAATGCATCCCTATCAGAGATGAGGTGAGAGGAACCAGACCCCAGGAACAGCAGTTACCAGCATTGTTCCTGCTGCAGCCACCAAATCATGGATTCCTTCTAGGACTTCCAAGTCCTTTCACACACACCATAGCCAGGCAGCCAGGGATTACAGGCCCTTCACTGGCTTTTATTTAGCACTGGGTGGCTTGCGTGAAGCTGCTGGTGGCCATGTTTCCTGGACACGAGTACTCCTCTGTTCAGTCAGATCAGAGGACTTTACTTCTGATATTGACCCCATCTTCTTCATGTCTGGCCTGCAGAATAGCCACCCTTTCCTGATAGAGAACCTGAAGAGCTGCACAGAGCACTGTGCTCCTCGTTTCTGCTGGTTCATTCAACATGTTCTTTCTTTACTCCCTCTTGTTGAATAAAGAGCTTGTTCTGCACACTGATGTCCATCTGTTGGGTCATAAGGACTCCCATTTTCCTTTGGTTAAGGCTACAGAGCAGCTCCAATCTAAAATACACAGGAAATGTTGGAGGCCTAGTGCTGGAGCGGCAGGCTTACACATAAAGAGCTGTTATAAAGTGAGTCAGCAGAGTACAAACATAAGCAGTAAACATCTTGTTCAATGTAAACACATTATGACTGTTCCCCAGAAAGCAAAATACTGGGAAACACTGTTACAAGGCCCACAGCAAGAAAGCAGCATTTCAGGAACGGAAGCACGGAGCTATTGTATGCTGATGCTGCTGCAAATCCTGGCTGGATCTGATTTCACCTCCCTAGTTCTCTACTTCTGTGTTTTCTATAAAGTTCCTTAGCTACTTCAGGATTTATTTGTCACTTCAGAGAGATACTTGGATCTCCTCAGGACCGCGGCACCCCTGAATTGCCCAGGCTGTGAGATATGGCCCATTTCCTTTTGGAGTTGGTCATTGTGAAGCCATCCCTGTTGTACTTTGTGTTCTTGAGCTGTAACATATATGTCTGGTGAAAGATTCTGCTGAGATTGAAGGGTGGGGAACACATGCCCACAGAGCATGTCAGTACTTGCAGCAGTATCCTAAAGATGACCATCACGCCTCTTGCTGCTCGTGCTGGGACTTCCCTTTTGGCTTGTGGTGAAAGCCAGCACTGTATTTACTCAACAGCATCTGTCAGCAATCCTACGGGTGAGGAAATCTCCGCTGGGCAGAGCTGCTGCACTGCTTGCCCCTGAGCTCATCAGATCCAGTTTATTTGTGGAGGCTGTGAACCATTCTCCCAAAACAAAACCTTCCACAAAGCTGTGACTATGGCAGTTATTGACCTGTTTTGATGTGTTGCCCCCTGGAAAGCAAGGAGCTGGGAAGTAGAAAGTTCAGCTGGAAGCACAAGCAGCTTACATGATAAGCAAAGCTGCTCCACTGTGAATGGGCCCAGCAATGCCATGTGTTTGCAATGGCACCAGCTCAGCCAGACTAATGGGATTGCTTCTTGCTCCTAATGAACATGGAGCTCCTGGCTCTCTCGGGAGCCACTGACTGTGGTGGGGAGCTGGTGTGAAGGCAGGGGCATACCTTTTTGTTCAGTGCCTCGAGCATGATGGCAGGAGAGTCAGAACCTACAGGGCTGGGCCTTGTGATGGACTGAGCAAGCAGGGACAGCTGTTTCCTGCTCTAGCTCATGTCCCTGCTTTCTTTGGGAAGGAAGGCAGAAAACTGTCAGAGGAAAGCGTGTCAGATCCCTGGCACTCATCATCTGTGGAGTATCAGCTCTAGGATTCTGCTTCACTTCTTTCCCCCAGCCTGGCTTCCTTATAAAGCTAGAATGTCTCAGCTGGCGCCGGGAGCAGCAGCTTGCCCGGGTGCTCGGGGCAGCCTGGGACATGGGCAGAGCCTGGCTGCCTGCAGCCCACACTAACCTGGCTCTCCCAGAAACGCCTCTAGTGGGGCAGGCCAGACCTTTCACACACTTGGACCGGGAGGAAGGGAAATACAGGCAGGATTTTTTTCCGTAGATTATAGAGCCGGGGAGGCTGGCTGGGCTCACCAGAGTAACTTCCTGCATGACACAGGCTGCTCTGAATTAGTTCTTGTGTAAATTTGAGCACTGTTGTTAAGAAAACAGTTGATCTTCAACTGATAGTGTCTGCTACAGTGGTTGGTATGTTGTTCTAAAGGTGAATTTTTAAATTGCACCTTATATTGACACTGCATTCTTTTAATTCCCTTCAAGTTGCTGGTTCTTCACAACCAGGGAGTGAGCCCTTGAGTTTTTCATCCCAGACAGAGGAGTCGGAAATTATGATTAAGCTTTCCTGATCCTTTTTATAATAAACTTAACTGATGAAAATCCCTTTTGCCTTAAAGCATATTTTCCATTTTCCACTTCTTGGCTTACATCCAAATCATCTTATGCATCCTTGTCCTTTGAGACACTGGGCTAGGACACACTATTCTAACTGCAGGAATGGGAATTTCAAATGCAGTGCGACTTTAACCTCTTATCCAGTCGCTGCCGGTACTTGAATGTTTAAGCAGGGAACAGGAACAAGCCTTTTACCCATAAACTCACAGTGGAAATTCATGGTCCACTGCTTGTCACCGTGGCCTGTAAGTCCAACAGGGATTCACCATTCCTGGTGCACTGTGTCAGAATAAAAGCACAGCCCTGCTGGGTCAGGGCAAAGGCTTCCTCTGTGCCCACTGCAGCAGGGGCTGGGCAGCTCAGGGAAGAGCACTCTGTCCACAAGCATGGGATGTGCCATCATGCTGAATCCTTGGAGATTTTTCCCCTGCCTTGTCCAATCACTTTTTGAACCTGTCTCTTCCTAGTAGGATAACTTCAGCAAGGAGGAGGCTCAGCCCTGGAGCGGCAGGTGCTGCTGGGCTGTCTGGACAGCATGGGCACTGGTTTGTTCTGGCCATCCAAGGCTCCCCCTGGTACCAGCTGGGCTCTAGTGCAGAGGATGGACACCTTTTGTTGTGTGCCCCCCACTGCCCGGGCATCCCAAGGTGGCTGACATGTCCCTGTCACAGGATGGCACGCTTTACCCATTGTGACTTCAAGATCCCTCAAGGTCATTTGCTTTACTCTATCTAACACTCCCTGCTAGAAACACATCCTTGGTGCCAGTTCCAGGAGACCATCTCCTCTGCTGCCCCACACTTGACCAGGCTGCTGGCACTATTGTTCCTGGATCACACACTCCACAGCAGCCAGCTCACTCGCTGATATTTAACAATATAGAGTGCCACAAAAATTATCATCTTAGTTTGATGGGATTATTCTCTGTAATCTCTGATGATTGGTATTTGTATTTCTCTGCTTTAAGTCTCTATCATTGCAATCACATATTTTTCTATAATTATTTTGCAGGGGATGACTATTGAACAGACACACCTGTTTACAAGGCCATCCTGTTTACTTTTTAAAAATACTGGCACAACAACAGCTTGCTTGTTCTCTGGAGCTTCAAGCTTCTTTTCTTTCAGAATGCCAGCATTAATAGTTTGGATTTTTAAAAATAGACTTTTTTGTTAATTTTGAGATGCAGGATACCCTGACTGCTGAGTTTTTAACATTTGTCTTATGCAACTGTTATTCAGATCTTCCTGAGTTACTGTTAGTGTGGAAAATGTTTCACCCTTGTGACAGGAATGCTTCATCTGGCTTCCTCCCAAACGCGCGAGAGAAATATTTGTTGCTTTTCCTTCCTGTCCAGCTATCCACAGTCCCAGACTGTGTGTTCCCAGGCTGTGTTGTGCATCCAGCCATGTTGTGTGATGCCTGCACCCTGTCCAGCTGCTGCCCCAGGCTGGCTCACCTCTGTAAGCTGTGAAGCTGGACACGGTGCCACCACTTCCCTGTATCTCTGCATCCACTGACCAGCACAGCTAACATCTGCTGTGTGTGTGTTCTCTTATCCCGTCCCCAAGCAGAGATGTACACACAGGTGGCTCCTTTTGTTTAAAAAAGAAAACATAACACTTTTGTTTGTTTTTTTTTAACCTACAGATTTAAGTGGGTGTCATTAAACCTTTATGGTGGAGATGAAGTACATCAGGTAGGAATCGAAATGTGACCAAAAAGATCTGGGGCACAGCTGTGGGAGGGGAACTTCTGCAGTTCTCCAGTCTCCATACTGCAGCTGAGGCTGGAAGGTGGGGTCTCAGCATGGGCTAGAAGGCTGGTTTCCATACTGCTGCTAGGATGGAACCTTTCTGACAGAAACATCTGGGACCCAAGGAGAAGTCTTCTGGTGGTTGGGTTGAGGGAGCCTGAGCATTTTTTTATGCTAAGAAGCAACATAATGGATTGTGTGCTGCCTAAAGGCACAAAGCCACGTTTTGCATTTGCATCCCTCTCAAGGCATCTTCACCTCATAGGGGACGTACAAATGCATGGAAATAGCAGCAAAATGTGTGTCTGAATCAGCCAGTGAAAAGCTGGGAAACTCCTTGAAGGTCAAAGGCATGGACAGGAAATGGCAGAATGATGAAGGCAGAAACCCCAGGTTGGCTCTCCATTTCCCTCTGGGTTTTCTCCATGAGCTTGGTGTCCCCATGAGAGCCAGATCATGCCTACATGACAGCTCGTGCCTAGAGGTGAATATACAGCCACTTTGTAGAATCCCATGAAGCTCCTCCTTTCAAATGCCGTAAATCTTCATCTGTCTTAAAAGTAACATGTTACCACTTTGTACCTCACATAGATCCTGTGGCAGTAAAAGTACATGCTCAAGAGACAAGATGTTTGGATATAATAAATGCCATCAAAACAGTTCAGGCTCATGTGACTCCACAATTTGTTTATTTATTGTCCTTATGATACAGTACCTCTCTTGCTGGATCCATAAACATTGCCTTGGTGGAAACCTGCACTTAGAAATTAATGGAAACCTTCTGCAGTTTCCTCAGGGGTAGCTCTGTACATGAAGGAATGCACAAGAGCAATGTGACGTGTCCTGGCTGGCTCCTCTGAAGGAGAAGTTTTTGTCATTATTGTTTGTTTGCTTGTTTGTTTGTTTTTGGTATGTGTGTGAGAGAGTTTTCTCAAAAAAAGGAAACTGTTGCACATATTTTTCTGACTGAGATGCACCTTTTCCAAAGTCAGGAAATCAAGAGCTGTGGTTCCTGCAGCAGTTATCTTGTCACTGCTTCTCTGATTCTGTCACTGATTTACCCGCCTGCTGCAAAGCTTCTCCCTTGGCTGCCATCATGTCCAGGCAGTTTCTGTACCAAACTAGCACTGGTGCTAAGGCCCCACTGTGCTTCATGGTGACTCCTTACCTCTGAGTGCAGAAGAAGCCCCTGGCTACTTCTGCATAATTTTTTTCGTTGAGTGTTAGCTGCCCATGCTTTGGGCCACAGGAGCACCTTTGCTGTCCACAGGTGTTATTCTGAAGCTGCAGCATTTCCCAGGATGTTTCTCTCCCGACTGCAGAACTCCCCCCCGTGATGC